TTGCGCCCCACCTAAAGTGATCTCTTTTCTGGATAGGAGAGTAATTTCTGTCCCTCCACTACCTTACCAGATGCAAACAGGTTATTCACAGTAATTTCATTTAACACATCAGCATGCATCTCTCAATCTGATGCTGGTTATGAGTTTTCTGAGCTAGCTTACTGACTGCATAGTCTTTGTTTGAAGATGAAAAGCATTATTTGTGTTGTTTTTCTGATAACAGAAAAATCAGGGTGTAGCCAACTCATTGCTGACTTTTCAAGTCTGTTGCAAATCAGCATCAAATGCTTCAGGAAAACTTGCCCTGCAGAGGTTGAGTTTTTGTTCCTCTACAGTATAGAAGAAGATTCACACCATGCTGTTGAGTCTTCAGGAGGTTGTAACAGAGAAGTTGCTTCAGCTATGACTTTACCTTTGCTTTTTCATAGCATCACAGACTGTGGTATGACATCACTGTGTCTATATCATAGAATCATAGAATCAGCTGGGTTGGAAAAGACCTCCAAGATCATCAAGTCCAACCCTACCATGGTCACTAGCCCATGGCACTAAGTGCCACATCCAGTCTCAGCTTGAAAACTTCCAGGGATGGGGAATCCACCACCTCCCTGGGCAGCACATTCCAATGCCTGAGCACTCTCTCTGGAAAAAATCTCTTCCTAATCTCCAACCTAACCCTCCCCTGGCAGAGCTTGAGTCTGTGCCCTCTTGTCCTGCTGCTGGTTGCCTGGGAGAAGAGACCAACCCTCACCTGACTCCAACCTCCTGTCAGGGAGTTGCAGAGGGTGAGAAGGTCTCCCCTGAGCCTCCTCTTCTCCAGGCTGAACAATCCCAACTCAGATAGATCACAGACTATCTAGTGGTGGCAAACTAATAAGGATGTTGTCATTACAGTTGTAATTGGTTTATGCATATATATATACATATTGTATACATTATTTGCAGGACTTGTCCCTACTATAATAAATAAATAAATCTATACATGCAGATCTGTTTTGTCAACTCCAAAGAGGGCAGAAGAAGAAGCTTATGTTTGTTTGTGTTGTACCCAAGCATGGCTAATGAATGGAGAGTGAGGTGGATGCAAGAACAGCAGCATATCCTACTCAAAATTCATTTGAAAAGAGGCTGAAAAGATTAAGTAACTAGAATCAAACACAGTGTTTAGAGGTAGAAATTCATCACAGATATCCTGTGCCATTCAGTGCCATTCAGTCATTAAACTATGTCTTTCAAACAGATAACAAGCAGCAGAACATAGGAGCATTTCCTAGTACTTGCCTGATTCTTGTAGTGAGTCAGAGTCTTGCTGGCCTTGTCAACAAATTGGAGGAGATAAAATAAGGCAGGAAAAAGTATTTTAACAAAGAGTCACAAGGAATAGGATGGTCATCTCAAAGGAATCACTCCAAAGTCAGCACACAATTTACCAGGGCTCACAAGCCTTTGTCTGGGTGACCTCTATAATTAAAACTCACAAGATAACACACGTCAAGACTAATGGGTATTGGCAAGGCAGAAAAGGAAGGTTTTGCTAAATCTGTCTGCATGCAACCTACAGCTCAATGTTTTGTCTTCCTCACTGTGATGTTATCTTGTCACCAAATTGCAGGTCTGAGATGTCTTTCTCCTATCTTTATTTCAAAACATTATTAAGCTTAAAAATGGGGAAGATTGGTCCTTGGTTCTTCAGTTTGTAATATTGGGGAGAACATCTCTGTAGCTTCATCTCAAGCACAAGCTTTGGACTTATTTTAATAAGGTCAACTTTACCTCAGCATCAGCTCTGATTATCATTAAGTCCATCCTGAAGGGATATCCTAGAGCAGTGTGAAATTATACAAGGCTCAGCAAGGGAGTAATAATGTTTATATGGATGTCGTGGTGAAACAAGAAACAGAATTATTTAGTTTGAGTTCTTGAGGTTTACAGACAACGTTTAGAGTGATAATTTGCTAAACACAGAATGTTTTTTAAAAATCAGTGAGGGTGATAGCTAGAAGTAAACTGATTAGAATTAAGGAGATGGAAAATGTGATAAAATATGGTAGAAAACTTCATTGCTTATTCAGTCAGAGCTTGCTAAGGTCGCATGTCTGACATCTAACTTAACCTTTAAGCAGTGATTTTAAGGTCTAAGAATGCCTGCCTGTATTTGATAGGTTTATTTGCCTCCAGAGTAGTCTCAGGAAAGTTTCTGCCCCATCTTTCTTTTAGGGACTTCAAATATAAAATAAGCATAACATTATAAAGCACCAAAACCATAGGGATAGAACTAGACAGCACCATTGCTCCTTTCCACTCCCAATTCTTTTTGATGAAAAGATTAGAATTTGGCAAAGCTCAGCCTCAGCTTGTCTTTTTTTTTCCCCCTATGCTATTTAAAAAATTCAGAGGAAATGCAAAAGCTAAAGTTAGCAACTACTTTAAAGTTGCCTGACAAAATACTTCAGTTGAACTTCCTTCAATGTGCTAACACAGTTCCCAGGTAACATGCTAACATAAGTGATGATGAAAATATCCAGGAAGAATGAAAAGCAACACATCTTATCACAGTGCTAAATATATATTTGCTTCTTCTTGCCCCAAGATAAATATCATGGGAAAGTAATTATGCCTTGCCTTTTGTGAGGATAAAAACTGAGATCTAGAGCTCATCAATACTTTTCCAATAGTAAGTGACACATCTTCCTGTAGTGTCTGTTAGTCTATGTTTCTTTATATATCGACAGACATATAAAAACAAGATATAAAAAGCATAGTAATCTGACACTGGGGCTTCTTCATCAGCAACTTAGTTATCATCTGAATATAATTCCATAAAGCATCACAGACCCTTTAAAAACTGTGTTATTAATAGCTCTTCACAATACCAGTGACCATCTGTGGCTGCTTCACCATCTGTGATTCCTATTTCAGTTTGGGAGGGGGGAAATAACACTGATATTCCACTGATTTTGCAATATAAGTGATTAGCCAACTAGACCTACTGTAGATGATTAATTTGCCTTTGATTATAAGTACAGAGTGAGCAGGAGAAAATGAGTTCCTTTGATTTGTTGGCACAACATGGGTTTGGGAAATGGGCACGGGAAGGTGAACAAATTAAGTTGCTTTAATTGAAATTTGCAACATGCAAAAGTTAGTGAAGAGAATGAAAGAGCTTAAACTGCACTGGAAAAGGTAGTGAATGTTTCTTTCAAGATCCATAGCAAAGGATGTGTTGATTACTGTAATTGGCTAAGGTCTAGTAACAGATGAGCAGCAAAAGGGGATTTTAAAAAACTTTTATGGTTTGTTGATGCTATATTAGAATAAACAGAGAAAATAGTGATTTATAATCTCCTAATTAAAAGTTATCTTATTGACTTCTTATTGAGTGAAGTAACATTTCTTTCAAAAGTAATTCCATTTTTAATTAGCAACAGTTAATGCTTGCAGAAGTGCTGTCCTGGCCTGCAGAGGTGGAATAGTCCAGTTGGTTAATTTTCTTTTTGCTTCCCTTATTAAACTGGGCTGAAATGTTTCCATATTTGCTATTAATGTCTGTGTTCTGTAATGGATGAGCTGATATAGATCATTCAATTTTCCTTTACTAAGGTCAAATTGGAAAGAAGCTATTAGGGAAAGGGGATACAATTTCAAAATCTTTCAGGTCCTACTTCTTAATGCATCCGCATTGTGTGGGAGCCTAAACTTGCTTCAAAACTAAAAGGAACTTTTCAGAAACACTACAATTTAGGGTGCAAATTAAATTGCATCTAACTAGTTGCACTGTCTACTTTTCTACTTGATGTAGAGAGGTGAACACCTCCAAAAAATGACTCGTCATCCTAAGGTAGATAGTTCATAGAATCATAGAATCATCAAGGTTGGAGGAGACCTCTAAGATCTTCAAGTTCAACCATGAACCTGTCACTGCTGGAACCCCCAAACCCTAACCCAGATCCTCCAGTGCCACATCAGACACCTCTGAAACACCTCCAGGGATGGTGACTGCACCACCTTCCTAAGTAATCTGTTCCAGTGCCTGAACACCCTAACAAGGAAAACATTTTTTTGAATTGAATTCTAGTTCTAGGGAACACCCTAACAGGGAAAACATTTTTTTAATTGAATTCTAGTTCTAGATCAGGATGAATCACTTTTCTACCATCAACTGTGGGGAAATCTGGACATCTGGATGGAACTAAACTCCTGTAATTTTATACTGCTTAACTTATTTTAAGTTTTAAACTGTACCTATTGACCTGAAACAAATTTCATTTACTAAAGTCTCAAGTGAACTAAAGAAAGCTCATGCCAGTTTTGGAAAGCACAAGAGTCTACCCTGAAAAAGATATATATTTAGTAGTAGAGTTGAGACAAAAATTGCAAGATCATCTAAGAACTACTTGTTGTACCAAATGAGTTGACACCAGAAAGTCTGAATTTCAGTAAATGTTATAGCTGCTTAATATGCACTCAGTGTCTGGCTCAGAGTCTTCTCCTTGACTGTGCAGATTATACATATACTTAGATATAAATATGTATATATGTACATTTATAATTATACAGATATTTTCCCTATTAAATGTTATATAAAGAAAGGTGTATATATATATATATATAATCCCCTTCCCTCACACACATGCATTGAATATATTTATGAATAAGCATAGAGAAAGAACTTTAGAAACAACAAACCAAACCCTTCAAACTTTTAATTGCAGTCAATTCAGTGTCAATAATATATGGTAGATTTTTCAGTGTTAAGATAAACAAAGTCCTAGTGAGTGTCACCCTTGTTTTTGCATCAGATTGCTCATCTTCCCAACCTTTAGCAGACTGACAGCACTTTTTTCATGCCATTTTCTGCTGCTTATTCACAGATACCACAAGCTTTCCTCCTTCTTAGGGAAAATATGTGATTAAGATATAAAGCCCTATCATGAAAAAAATTTTAACAACTTGTGATTAATTTGCCTCATAGTGATCCAGTCTTGTTTCTTCTATTGCAGACCAAAGGTTCAAGCATAACTCCATCAGGCAGTCAAAAGAAGGTGAAGAGGACTCTGCCCAACCCACCTCCAGAGGAAGCAACAGCAGGAACTCAGTCCCCATATACTTCTGTGGGATCAGTTTCACGGAGAAGGATTTGTAGGACCACTACTATGGCCAGAGCAAAAATTCTTCAGGATATAGACAGGGAATTGGATCTGGTTGAACGTGAATCAGCCAAGCTTAGGAAGAAGCAAGCAGAGCTAGATGAGGAGGAAAAAGAAATAGATGCCAAGCTGAGATACTTGGAAATGGGCATTAATAGGAGGAAAGAAGCCTTACTAAAAGAAAGAGAAAAGAGAGAGCGTGCTTATCTCCAAGGAGTAGCAGAAGAACGTGATTATATGTCAGACAGTGAAGTTAATAATACCAGGTCAACCAGAATAGAAACTCAGCATGGCTTGGAAAGACCACGTACTGCACCCCAGACAGAATTTAACCAGTTTATGCCACCACAAACCCAGCCAGAAACACAGTTTGCCCCTGCTACAAGCCCATATGCTCAGTATCAGTATTCATCTCCTGCCCTGCCAACTCAAGCACCAACTCAGTTCACACAGCAATCACATTACCAGCAACAGCAGCCTTTGTATCACCAGCAGGTTTCACCCTATCAGACCCAGACAGCTTTCCAAACAGGAGCTACCATGTCCTTTACTGCGCAGGCTCAACCTCCACCATCTCAACAGCCATCATACCAACTCCCATCACAGATGATGGTGATACAGCCAAAGCCAAGACAAACCACATTGTATTTGGAGCCTAAGATAACAACAAACTATGATGTAATTCGCAATCAGCCTCTCATGATAGCACCAGTCTCAACTGACAATAGTTATGCAGTTTCCCAGCTGGGCAGTAAATACTCCACCTTGGACTTAAGGATAGGACTAGATGAGAGAAGCAGCATAGCAAGCAGCCCTATATCCAGCATATCTGCAGATTCATTCTATGCAGATATAGACCACCACCATACACCCCGAAATTATGTGCTGATTGATGACATAGGGGAACTTACTAAAGGAACAGGAGCGCTTGGTTCCAGTTTTAGCCTCCATGAGAAAGATCTGACCAAAACAGATCGACTGCTTCGCACAACAGAGGCCAGGAGAGCACAAGAAGTGTCAGACTTCCTAGCACCACTGCAGACTTCCTCTAGGTTACATTCCTATGTTAAAGCTGATGAAGACCCAATGGAAGACCCTTATGAGCTCAAACTTCTGAAACACCAGATAAAGCAAGAGTTCCGTAGAGGTGCAGAGAGTCTTGATCATCTGGCTGGCCTGTCCCAGTATTACCATGGAGAGGGCAGCTACAGGCATTTCCCAAAATCTGAGAAATATAGCATAGGTAGGCTTACTCTTGAGAAACAGGCTGCTAAGCAGCTTCCAGCAGCCCTCCTTTACCAGAAGCAGTCAAAACACAAGAAAGCTTTGATAGACCCCAAACTAACAAAGTTTTCACCTATCCAAGAAAGCAGAGACCTTGAGCCTGACTATTCAAGCTATATGACTTCTAGCACTTCAACACTTGGGGGAATTACTACTAGGGCAAGGCTTCTTCAGGATGATATCACTTATGGCCTTAGGAAAAACATCAGTGACCAACAGAAATACATGGGGCCACCACTGACGTCATCCATTGGAGCAGGCCTTGGGACTGCACTAGGTCCAACAATGAGATCCACACTACAAGATGAAGCAGACAAGTCTTATAGCAGTGGTAGTAGATCTAGGCCCTCATCGAGACCCTCCTCAGTGTATGGGCTCGATTTGTCATTGAAAAGGGATTCTTCCAGTTCTTCTTTAAGACTGAAAGCCCAAGAAGCTGAACCCTTAGATGTTTCCTTTAGCCATGCAGCACCTTCTGGAAGAACTAAACCCACCAGTCTACCTATTAGCCAAAGCAGGGGAAGGATCCCAATAGTAGCGCAGAACTCAGAGGAGGAGAGCCCACTAAGTCCTGTTGGGCAGCCAATGGGGATGGCAAGAGCAGCAGCTGGACCCTTGCCACCAATATCTGCAGATACCAGGGACCAGTTTGGATCGAGCCATTCATTACCTGAGGTGCAGCAGCATATGAGGGAGGAGTCACGGACTCGAGGCTATGATCGAGATATAGCCTTCATCATGGATGACTTCCAGCATGCCATGTCAGACAGTGAAGGTAAATTAGGCCTCAGACTGGTATCTTACTATCACAACGCAAATCCTCATTTCTATGCATGTGTCTAATTTTTGTTATACTTCAAAGACTTGTTCTTTTTCTGTTCCTTGGTGCATCTTCTGTGTATCTACATTTTTTGGGATTTGATTTGTTTTATTTGATTTTTTTTTTACTTTACCCTACCAGCAGTTTCTGGATGGTGTTAAGCTACTATAGCATGCTCACTATATTGGTGTTGATTTGCTTTCCTTTTGGTTTGCTTGTGCATTTTCCTTTTCACTTGTTTAAGTCTACTTCTCCAATGATACTGTGTAGAACATTCCGTGTACAGTTACAGACCTTACCATGAGTCTTTATGTGGAGCTCTCTCCAGTGACTGCAAATCACCGAACTTACTTGCAATAGTTTTTTGTTGAGATTTGGAAATAATCTCCCAAATCTCTAAAAAAAAAAAACTCTAGTAATTTTATTTGCATGAAATTTCATGGTAGAATTCAAGAACTGATAATTCCATCTCCCGATGCACCAACTTAGATCTGTGTTGATAGAGAAATAGTCTGTCCGTTAAGTGCATATTGTATGTTAGAACCATATAGAGGTTAACGTGGTAGCACAATAGCATTCTGCATATGGTTTGTTGAAAGCATCCTGTCATGTGGACTCCTGTGCATTCAGAATTGTGATTATGTAAGATCATTTGTCGTTCGGATGGTGCAAGACAAATCTCATCCTTCAAATAAACTTGCATAAAGTATTTTACTTCTACTCAATGGTTATGCAGCGTAGCTGGTTTTATATGCACCCCACACGTCTGTCTGCCAAATAAGCACAAGGGTTTATCTCACTTAGGCTCATGAGAGGAACCTTCCTGATGTATTTCAATGGTGCAATTAAAAATGCTGCTTCTGAGTAAGTACAGCAGAATGTGAAAGCTGGTGTCGAGTACTAAATAACTGCAAATTCTGTATCAGTTTTGTTGGAGTCAGTTCAGACTTAATATTTTCTAAATTGTTTAAAAAATCATAAAGACAGTTTGAAAGCAAATGCAATGGATATGTTCGAAATTGTATTGCACTCCCTCAACTTTTTTCTTATGTGTATTTACTGCACAATAAAAGAGACTTTGCATGCGCTGGATTGTCTGTAAATGGCAATGATTGTCTCAAAAGACACATCTGCATGACTATGAAGTAGTATGGTTTATTTTTTCAGGTTTCTACTAACCCCCCATGTTCATTATTGCATTCTTGCTTTTTCACACATGCTGAATCTTTGGTTAGCCTTAGAAAATTTGATCTGTTTGCCTTTCTCATGCTACATCTTAAGGGCTTTGTTCTGCAAGTTTCTTGTCTTATTTCTTGGATATTTACACCCCCAAGGAAGGGTGTGTTTCAAGAGAGATTTAGGATCATCAGCTTCTGATTTTTATCAGAAGTTTAAGTGCTTTTATTGTCCTTAACTTCTTAGCACACAGAGTCCTCTAATTAAATCTGAAAGTAGTTGAGAGCAACACTCCAAGTTGCAACTTATATCATTGGTCTTAAATAAGTAGATGTTATCTGGTCTCAACTCAACTTGTGACTTCTAAGGGTCATCCTTGAGTCACATTGTGAAAGACAGAGGACTTTTCCTCCTGAAAACTGAGAAACAAAATGGACAAAAAAATCCTATTTGGTGCTATTCTACCTTGTATTAACTGGTCGTAGGGATTTATAATTCTGCCCTACAGTGCATTAGGTTTCTCATATATAATTGTACAAGGTATACATGTTGTGCTTCAGGTTGAACACGTTTCCCTTGAGTCACATTGTGAAAGACAGAGGACTTTTCCTCCTGAAAACTGAGAAACAAAATGGACAAAAAAATCCTATTTGGTGCTATTCTACCTTGTATTAACTGGTCGTAGGGATTTATAATTCTGCCCTACAGTGCATTAGGTTTCTCATATATAATTGTACAAGGTATACATGTTGTGCTTCAGGTTGAACACGTTTCTAAATTAG